GAGGTCATGGATGCAGCCTATGACCCAACCAAGGGTCTCTTTGGCCCAGCCCTGGAGAGAATGAGAGAAACAAGCACCCGCAGAAAGCAGGAGGGAGAAGCATTCAACCTCTGCTTACCCAGAAAACCTAACTCTCAGCCCCAGCAGGTGCCAAGAGCTGGCTTTGCAGCAACAGCAGCAGCTGTGAGAGGGAGACAGAGTGGGGTCAGAATGCAGAGAGGAGTAGGAGGCCAGCAGGGTGCCCACCAGGCCAAGGTAGAGAACCGAAGACCTTGGGGCAAGCATTCCTTTGCAGCAGTTGCTGCAAAGAACAAGCCGTCAGACCCCAGAGAGGGGAAAAAGAAGCGGTCAGCCTAGCAGCACACCTGCAGCATTCTGTGTCACCCCTATTTTCTTCCCCAAAGAGAAGGAAGGTGTTAGAAGGGGTAACCAAATCACTCCAAAGTTCAGGGTCTCCGGAAGTTTCCAGTTCACCAGGAGCACCCTCTCAGTCTCCTCCTCCAGTTCAGGGAGGACAGACTTGTGGACATATGGAGCAGTGTGACAAAACACTTCTAAGCACTCTGTCTGTGTCACCAAGCACTGCCCAGAGTCACCAGACACTTCACTGTGGTTTGGGGGTAACAAAAGAAATAAAACGTGCATTTCTGCAGCCAGGCAGTTTGCCAAGGGCATGTCCCCCAGTTTCAAAATAAAAACAAAAGAAAATCACTGCAATTTGTCTTTGTTCCCAGCGGGGGAGCTCACGCTCTTCCCGAGGGGAGAGCCCAACTCCTTCCGGGAGACAGGGGTGACGTCACGCTACCGCGTCTTCAGAGGCCCGCTCGCAGCGCGGCTGGAGCGGTGGCGCGCATGCGCAGTTCATCCCTGGGTCTTGTCAACCATTTCCCATGGTTACAGACTACAGTTTGCGGCAAAACCCCCGAGATTCGGTGGAGTGTTAGCTTCTGTGGCCAGTCGCGATTCAGCGAATGTGCTGGAGGAGGAAATATCCTCCTGTTACACAAACAGGCGGTCGGAGCGGTTCCGAGCGAAGAAGCTCAGCAGGGCTTTTACTCCCGCTATTTCCTCATCCCGAAAAAGGACGGAACGTCGCTCCGCCCTATTCTGGATCTGCGTGTGTTAAACAAGCATTTGAGAAAGTACACGTTCAGAATGCTCACACACAAGACGCTTTGTCGCTCAATTCACACAGGCGATTGGTTTGTTACAATCGACCTATCAGACGCATATTTTCATATCGCCATTTATCCTCCACACAGGAAATATCTCACGTTCGCGTATCAGAGCGTAGCGTACGAGTTTCAAACTATCCCATTCGGGCTATCCTTAGCCCCAAGGGTGTTTAGCAAACGTGTGGAGGCAGCGCTGCCTCCGTTAAGGAACAGCGGCATCAGAATATTCTCTTACATAGACGATTATCTAATATGCTCACGATCGCGAGAGCAGGCGATCAAAGACTCCGAGGTGGTGGTGAATCACCTCACGGAGCTTGGGTTCACAATCAACCTGGAAAGGAGCCACTTGGAACCCGCACAGTTTACAGAGTATCTGGGGCTCAGAATAGACTCCATCTCTTATCGCACTTTCAGAGCGGAGGATCGCATCCTTCACTCACTGTCTTTCCCGTTTTCAGCTGGGAAAGTCGTGCGGTTCCGACTCTGTCTCCGCCTCCTCGGCCTCATGGCCTCGGTGATATCGGTGGTACATTTGGGGCTGCTTATGATGAGAGATTTTCAGCGGTGGGTCGCTTCTCTGCAGCTGTGCCCTCGCCGACATCTCAATCGTGGTGTAAAAATAATGCAGCCGTGTATCGCGGCTCTCCGGCCTTGGAGGAGCCCGACAGCTCTCGCGGCGGCGGTACCTCTCGGGCAGTATCATCCAGGGTGACGCTGACCACAGATGCATCCCTGTCAGGTTGGGGTGCGACTATGATGGGCAGAGCAGTGAATGGCGTTTGGTCACAGAGGCTCGCTCTGAATCACATAAATGTGCTGGAGCTCCACGCGGTGCTCCATTTTCTGCCGTATCTCCGGGGTCAACATGTTTTAGTGAAAACAGACAACTCCACTGTAGTTGCTTATATCAACCGCCAGGGCGGCACCCGTTCCCGGCAGCTACACAGGTTAGCCAGGGAAATAATTATGTGGAGCAGCACTCGGCTCCTCTCCTTCGGGCAACTCACGTGCCAGGAATTCTGAACAGGGGGCGGACCTCCTGTCCAGAGGAAATCCACTGTTCGGAGAATGGAGGCTTCACCCACAGGTGGTGGAGCAGATTTGGCAGAGATACGGCCGGGCTGCCGTAGATCTCCTCGCCTCACGAGAAAACACACAGTGCCCCCTGTTTTTCTCCCTGTCAGACGCACATGCGCCACTGGGCGTGGATGCGCTGGCCCATCCATGGCCAAAAACTCTGCTGTATGCTTTCCCTCCCCTCAGCCTGATCTCCCCAACACTGATCAGAGTGAGGGATCAGGGGCTGTCTCAGATTTTAATAGCTCCACGGTGGGCATCCAAACACTGGATAGCAGAAATCATCCAGCTTCTGGTGGACGAGCCATGGCCACTCCCCATCCGCAGGGACCTTCTGTCTCAGGCGCGGGGGAGATATACCATCCCCATCCAGACCAGGTTGCTCTCTGGGCTGGCCCGTGAAAGGTGGAATTTGAAGGCAGCAGGCATGCCTCCGAAGGTTATTGAAACCATTCAGAATGCCAGAGTCTCCTCCACTCGTTCCATTTACAGCAGTAAATGGTGTGTTTTTGAAGAGTGGTGCCATGAAAAGCAGATTATCCCTTTTCAGTGTTCAGTGGTGGAGCTGTTGTGTTTTCTTCAAGACTTGCTGGACAAAAGGAAAGCCTTTTCCATTATAAAGGTTTATTTAGCAGCTATTTCAGCCTGCCACGTGGGGTTTGGTGATAAACCTGCCGGGCAGCACCCCCTTGTATGTCGCTTCATGAGAGGGGTGCGTCGAACGCTCCCAGTTTCTAGACCACTGGTCCCTTTATAGGATCTGTCAGTCGTTTTAGACGCCCTCTCCCACCACCCCTTTGAGCCTATTGGGGCAGTGGGGTTGAAGTTTCTCTCTCTTAAAACCACTCTGCTGTTGGCTCTAACCACAGCCAAGCGAGTTAGTGAATTACGGGCTCTGTCTATTCACCCCTCTTGTCTACAGCTGGCCCCGGACTCACTAAAGCACTCCTGAGGCCTAACCCAGCCTAAAGTGCTGGAAATGTCATACAGGTGCTCTACAGTAGAGCTCCTAGCTTTTCACCCCCTCCATTCTCTTCAGAGAGGGAGCAGAGGCTGAACACTTTGTGCCCTGTCCGGGCCTTGGGGACTTATGTTGACAGAACAGCTGGATTCAGGAAGTCGGATCAGCTGGGCCTCCCCTCACAAGGCAGGCCCGTATCACGCCAGAGGCTAGCTCATTGGATTGTAGAGGCCTTAGCTCTGGCTTATAGCTGTAAGGGCTTGCAGCCCCCCCCGGGACTCCGAGCTCACTCCACTAGGGGTGTGGCCACATCCTGGGCGTTGTTCAGAGGTGTATCAGTCCAGGATATTTGTGCGGCAGCAAGCTGGGCTACGCCGCACACGTTTGTCCGGTTTTATCGGCTGGATGTTGCACAGTCATCCCTGGCTCAGACGGTGCTGGATTCTGGTGCCTCAGGTTCGACCTGAGATCCTTGAGTAGCACTGGCCTGTAGCTTCGGGAGCTGGCGCAATCCGGGAGTGGGCCATATCTCCCATAGTGAAACACCGAGCGAAGTTAGAAAAAGAACGTTGGGTTACTTAACGTAATCCCTGGTTCTTTGATAACAGAGTGAGGTGTTTCACCAACACTTCCCTCCTTGCTTAGGCACGGAAAGAAATCCGCTTGGAATGAGTTAGGGGGAGCTGGTCGGCCGAGTTAGTATGAGGGGCGGAGCCCTGAGCACGACTCGACAGGTCTGTCATAGACAGACGTGGTGTCATTGGAGCTTCCGTAGTTGGTCACGCCGAGGCGATTCCCCATAGTGAAACACCTCACTCTGTTATCAAAGAACCAGGGATTATGTTAAGTAACCCAACGTTTTCTTTTAATTAAAGCAAAATAGACAGTTGGATAAAATCGACCTGACTCGGGCAGAAATGATGTTCATGAACAAGGTACCAGTCATTTAACTGACTTTATTTATGGTGTGTCTCTTTATTCTGAAGAAATACTGAAGAAAATGTAGCAAATGTAACGTTAATTGCTACAATTAAATGTCTTGGATCAAAATGAAACACAACAATGAATAAAACATACATTTCTTTGGGTTGGAATATTGTTAGAAACATTAGAAAAAAATCAAATCATCGGTCGAGTCATTTTTAAACTGCGCAGCGTGGATGCACTGCTTCTTCCACAGTGCTGTTTTACTCTACTCGAGCACTCTGCATCGTTTAATCTCCCATTTGTGCACTTTTCACTGTGTCTGAGTGCTTTCTGTCTAAAATTCACACAAAATCTTACTCTAATGAACACATCAGGAGCAACTGGGGATTCAACATCTTGCCCAAGGATACCTGAGCAGCTATTGAACCACCAACCTTCTGATTAGTAGCTGACCTGCTCTACAACCTGAGCCAGAGCCAGCCCGGAAATGTAAGAGCCACATATTACAGTTTTACAGCCGTTGGTTCAACTGCCTACAACACGACTCAGTGAATGACTGGACCACACCAACAGTAGCAGATCACCATGTATTGCAGAGGTGCTGGATGGCCGCTCCCGGGGCAGCAGAGCTTCCGTGAAGTACTCGGAGCTGACATTCCAGCTTTGAAAATCAGCCGGCAAAGAGAGCGGCGAACAGGGACAGTCAGCGTGAGCCACACAGGAGCCCCTGTGCAACACCTGCAAAGGGCACGATGACACAATCAGTTAGGACTCACATCTGCTGTCCAACCACACACACACACACACACACACACACACACACACACACCTGTCCAGGAGGGCATGTGCACCCGGCGTGCAGGGTCCAGGTAAACACTGAGTGTGTGGCCACAAGTCCTGGCAGGTATACGGACAGGAAGCTGAACAGTCACTGGACACCTGCGTGCCGGGACACTCTGCAGGAACATAAAGCAAATGACCTCACCTGTAACAGGTCGGCGTGCAGACATGTGCGCTGATATATTTACTTCGTATTCACTTTGTTTGTTATATTAATATAACTGTAAACATCACTCGTTAGGACTTTGATGAGCTGACTGACAACAGTTTCACATCATTTGAACTCAAGGGGTATCTCTCAGTAGACACACAAAGTGCGCAGTGTTGTGTGCTTGTGTTACCGGGCAGGCAGCTGTTGGTGTTACAGACAACGTGCTGTTCAAGTGGCCCGACACAGGCTGTCCCACCGGGCTCTGGCTCTCGGAGGACCGTCTTGTTCCGCAATGACAACCCACCGTCACAGGAGGCGCTGCACTCGCTCCAGGCCGACCACTCACTCAGCAAACAACCCGCTGCAAAGAGAGGCGGCGAGTTAAGCAGAGATTAAGGAGGTAAGGGGACGCCAGACTTGCAGGTAAAATCTCAGGATCTTGGCTGGATATTTTTTCTATGTCCGACCTGGACACGACGGCAGATCACAGATTTCTGTTTGCGTGACTTCGGCACAGGGCGGGCCGCCCTCTGTGTCCTGGCAGCGGCGCGTCCTGGTTCTCCGGCCTCGCTCACATGAAGCTGAGCAGGCGCTCCATGGACTCCAGGGCTCATAAACTGGACAGGGAAGCTTGGAGCACACCACCGTGCCATGCTCACACACACTGCACACGGAGGGGCGTTACGAGAAGTGAGACGGAGCAAAGTTTATGAACTAAACGCTACAAAAATTTGAAAAACTGCTTTATTAATCCCAACTATGACCATACTTCAGCTCACAGAAAGCAGTTCTCACCAGGTGTTACAGTCCACAGTAAACTCCTCTTCAGGAGGAACTCCAGCGTCCCGTTGCCTGATGGGATACCACAACGACATTCTGTCACTGGCACGCAGCGGCCATCTTGCAACAGCTGTCCTTCTGGACACCGACAACCTGAGGAGACAAAAACCAAAAAAAGAGACGGAAAAGTAAAGAAACACAGAGAAACAATGAATTTCACGTAATGAAAGTCTAATATTAGGAAGATGTTATCCATGGTTACCCGGGTGACAGGCTCCTTGGAGACACTGCACATGCTCCCATAGGTCAGTGCAGCTGCGAGGACACTTGTTGGCACAGCTGTCCTGGGAGGCTCGATCCCTGTCCTCACAGCGCTCACCTGAAAAAGCAAAGAAACCATGCCTGCGCTGCAAAATGTGACCTGACGTAGAAACAGAGTTCAGCACGGTGGTGGTGGTGTGATGTGTGCGGCTTGTAGCTGTAGCTTTGTGACAGACAGATAATCGTAAGGACAAAGTTTTGTCTTCAGTCTGATTTAGTCTTTTAGTACATCCTGATTTGTTTTATTTCAAACAGCTTCAGAACTAATGGAACTTCCTATAAAATTCTTCTTTTTAAGCTGTAAAGACGTTTGGTTAGAAATTCATTGAATCGGATCATTTTCCTCTGTGTGTCGTTTTATATACGTTTTACTTGTACGTCTGATTTCCTCTCACTTCTTTCCAAGAATGTGCAGAAGTTCCTTCAGCTGCTGAAAGAAACACTAATGACTTGCATTAGTTCAAAGTGAAACACACAAATGTGTTTCTAACAAACCACGCTGACACAAACAACATGATCATCTCTGTCCGGCTCAGCCTCGAAGCCTTCGAGGAAAACATTTTCACTGCGTGTACCAAAACTTCCAACAGCCTTACTTTTAGGGGCTTTTGCAGTCATCTCCATTCACATATATATCAACAAATTGTGTAACTAATGTTATCTTTGGAACTGAACTTATGAACTACACCACTGATGTTGCCTGTTGGCTTTGCTCTCTTTTTAAGCTCACATGTACCTGGGCAGAGGGCCGTGTTGCATCCTTGGGTCTGGGTCTTTTGGCTCCTACACTGGGTCCTGCAGGAGAGGCCAGGGGCTGTCTGTAGCGCTGCCTGACTCCACCGCTGCACGGCTCAGCACACGCTGTCCAAGCACTCCACCCACTCCACTGACACACATCTAGGAGAGCAGAGTGACTATCATAACTAACCTAACCTTGGTATTATCCGCATTAACAGACTGACAGTGACAAATACAGAAACTTTAAGTGTTTCGTTTTAGATGATGACGACAGAGCGACAAACACAATGTGTTTATTTGCTGTATGATTTATAAGTAAGAGACATTTTAGTTTGTTCTTGCTGAGCAGTATTTACTCACTATGACCAAGAACCAGGCTTCAGTTGTTTGACATGCAAATTAAGCTGGGACAGCAGTCATTCAGAGCCATTCGTGTATAAAAATGGATGGATGACAGAGTTAAATTTGAGCTGAATCATCCTTTGCACGCACATAAAAGCAAAGCTAACCACACATGAGCATTTAACCTGTCCTTTTCTTCTCCTTTGGGGAATAAAGTGAGTCAGAATAGCAGGAAAAGCCCATTTTGCACTGATTAAGGCCTCTTAACTGTCTGCTGATGGCAGCTGTGACTGACACACAGTAAACATTTTCCCTCAGAGACTCCACATGTCAGAATGACATCGCTCTCGTCACTGGATCCAAAACTACATACATTTATTTAATACACTGAAACAGTTTAAAGGTTTGCCTGTTTATGACTTGGACATTATCGGTGTCTGCAGTCGTTTATTCCTCGCTGTGTGTGAGACTCCAACTGTCTTTATTTAGATGAAAAGAATATGCTTTGAAGTGCACGCATTTATTTCAAAACACAATCACCCCCTTTCCTTTCCAGAGAAAACCGCGCTGCAGTCATTTCATCACCCTCTGACGACTGTGTAATTCATTTTTTTCTTTGGAGCCGTGCTCGTCGAGCCCTGACTCATTCACCCACTGTTTGCATGCAATCTGTGTCAAACTTTTACTGAGAGGGTCTCAGACAGAGCACAACTGTGGTGCCCACAAACACCCAGACCCTGTGGAGGAGGTGCAGTTTGTGCAGTTTGTTTATGGTGTGAACGTCCTCCAACCTCAATCCGACCCAACTTCCAGGTGCACAGTGCAAGTTTGACCTAAAAGAATCTTGCAAAGGTCAGTATGAGTTTGCAGACAGCAGTAAAATCTCTAACATAACACAGAACATTTACTTTTGCTGCTCTCTCCTCAGTGACATCTGGCCAATAAGACGACTGAATCCTCTGAGACGAAACAAACTCTTGGTGTGAGCATCTTTGTTACCTCTGCAGATGTTAGCATCTGGACATGGCCTCTCCTTACCAGCAGTCCTGGACACTGGCTCTCCTCCTCTTTAGAGACTGGAAGACCAGAATCCAGGTCCAAACAGGCTCGAAAGCGCCTCTGGATCGACACCATCTGCGAGCTGTTGTGCTGCAGCACGCAGGGAGAGCACCGAGTCCAGCCCGACCACTCGCTGAGGACGACTGAAAGAAGGAGAGAAAGAAAGATTCAGGTTCACCGTGTTTACAGAGAACCTCGTTTTATTACTCTGCTCTCTTACCTTCACATTCTCTCATGTCGCACTGCAAACTCCCATCGTGACAAAGACTGGAGGACAGAGAAGTCAACAAAACGGACAATAATAACAACCTGTCACAGCCCAGGCAGTATAAAAGACAAACTGCACACACAAGCTGGGAATCACAAAGAAAGAGCAGAGAGTGACGACAACACTGTGAGAAAACATTCATGTCTCTATCAGCAACAGGGGCTGATAGAGACAACTGACCAGGTACTGCAGCCTATGGTGACCGTGGCCCCTGTGGGACGGTGACAGGCGTGGGTGGATCTCCTGGAGCTTGGTGCTGCAAGTGGATGCAGCCACATTCCTCTGGAGGAACACAGCTCCCATTATACTGCAGCAGGCCCTGGAAGGAAAAACACACATCTCAGAGGAAAGAAGAAACAGCGCAGCGATCGGATCTGTGTCTTGGTCATAAAGTACAGCACATTTGTCGTGTGTTGTGCTCAAATCACGTGCATTGAGATGCATCAATGTAGAATTCATACTTCAGGCAAACGTGCTGTTTGAAGCAGCTTAAGATCCAAAAACCAAACCAACAAACGCAGCTGTTAACACGTGTTGCATTATTTGCTAATCATATTTGTTCTTAATGACCAGAAATCAAAGCAAAACCTCCAAAGGCAAAGTGCGTCTTACTGTATCCTACTGGTAGTGTCCAAAATCATAATTAAACTCAGCAGCGTTCATTAAAACTCACCTGTGGACAGTAACAGCCAGGTGTGCACTCGCTGACACCCAGACACAGATCTTCACGGCCACGCAGTTCACACTGCTTCTCACAGGAGCGCCACACGACGAGTACACAAACGGGGCTTCGCAGACTTCTAGCAGGAAAACACATGAAGAGGTGTAGGACCAGAGTGCAGCTTAAGCAGCTCTAAGGTAATGAACTCACCATCACAGCGGCTGAGACCGCATGCCCGGCTCTGCGTTTCCACAGGAGTGCACTGTTGGCCCCTGGTGGGTGAAGAGAGCGCTACACGGTAACGCTGCTGCTCTGGGACGCACAGGAACACTGAGACCAAACGCTCCACGCTGACATGGGACAGCCTGCCAAAGCAACGAAAACATTCAAGTGCGATTCACGAGCGCTTGATGTCATCTGTGAGTCGCTTCAACACACAGTCGGCTCTTCAGTTAATCGCATACTATGGCATAATTTTCAAAAAAATGAAGCACAATAAAAAGATGAAAGTCAGTGAATCTCAAACAGTCTGGAAGCTTCTCACAGTCTAACACAGGTTTGAATGCGAGGCTCCAAAGCTCTGTGTAGCTCTACTTGTGCTATTTTCTCTCATATTTCACATACTTCACTTCCTGCCCTTGTGTATTTCCTGCCCGCCCTCATTTCTTCTGCCAGATCATCTTTTCCCAATTTGCCCGGTGTTCCAGGATTTGTTGGTAGCATTAGTAATGTTAAGGGTCCGATTTGTTTTCTGTGACACCGATACCCTGTACACTGAGCTCTGTTCACTTAGTAGAGGCTGTACTACCTGTCCAGCTTCACTCAATAAAACCTGCAATGCACATGTGTGCAACACAGAAATCAGCAGATGGACAAGTGAAGTTAGTTTGACTGATTTAATATTCTCTGTGGCAAACATCTGCAATCTGTGTCCTATTAGCTCCAGCAGTGTGAAACAGACTGGGATCAACCACTAAACATTTTTTGCATATGTGACTTAACTCTTATTTTGCGCAGCTGTAACTTTACTGCACGGCTTCGTCCTGCGGTGTGAGATACAGCTCAGCAGGTTGCATATATGAAATATATTCCTTCAACAGAAAATCTATACCATAACTAAGTCACTATGGAGACCTAATAATGCAATGTGACGCTAAAAAACAAAGATCCAATAAACCTTTTAATTCACTCTGTGGTTCCCCAGTCTAGTCTCTAATGTTGTGTCCCTACATGTACTCTGGTCTGTGCCCATATAGCCATTACCTAATAATATATTAGAATAACTCTGTGTTCATCAGTAACAGTCACTGCAACTATGTCCAATTGTTTAATGAGCTCAGCTGAAGTTCCTCTAATTACAATGGCTTCTCAGAAATGCTGAAGACACACCAGAGCCGTCAGCTGTTCAGAGAGAAACAGCACAAACAGCGATCGTGGCTGTTAGTCTGGCTTCAGTGCTGCCAGCATGACTCTTGTACCTGGACAGGGCTGTTTGTAGCACAGCTGCGTCTCCACGCGGTTCCTCTCAGCCTCGATCTCAGGGGGACACGCCGCATCTCCTCCCTGCTCGCACACACACGCCCTGTGTCGTGATACAGACCCCGCCCCGCACGTCTGGGAGCACGGTGACCAAGGAGACCAAGGCAAAGGTCATCTGTTGATACAAGAGTAAATGAAATTCCCTTTGATTGGAGAGAATATGTGGCTTTTCTTTCCTTGCCTTAAGATACAGACCAGGCACGGAGGGTCTGACAGTCCTGTGTTTCTTTCTCTGGCCCGCTGCAGTGAGAACCATTGTTTCGTGGTGGGGGGTGATGCAGGCGCGGGTTCGAACATGTGTGCCCCGACCACAAGTCCTGAGCAGTCAGACCACACCGACCAGGGGTCCAAGCACCGTCCACTGGAAACAGCACAAAGGATTTTCACAACTTTCTTTGCAAGGACTTCAAACATCTGCGACACTCTTTCACAGAAACACGGCGACGCACCTCTGCAGTCGATGTCTTGGCAGAAAACTCCCTCTGGAGTGCACGTGCTAGAAGAAACACAGGCAGAGCTTCCAGCACAGTATCACTGACATTTCATTTTGTCATTAACATCCATATCCTCTGTCCTTATCTAACGCACCATTGTTTACATTCTCCTTGGAGCCAGGTGTCACCCACACTGAGCGTCTGGTTGTCAAGGAGACAGAGAGGCGGGCAGGTTCCTGGACTGCAGGGTCTGTGCTGGACCTCCTCAAAGTGGCAACGTGTTCCCTCCCCTTCCGTTTCCATTATGTTTACATTGCTGACTTACTGTGGTAGCAGGAAGCCTGGATCACTAATCTGTTACTCCGTGACTGCTTTCATATGTGATTTAAAGTGTTAAATGTATCTTATGTTATTTGTAAATTCTAAGATTTGGAATTAGCATTGAGAACTTGCAGTACCATGGAAACGAAGCTATTTAACTATCCATCAGGAAGGTGTCTGATCAGCAGCAAATTCATTCTTTTGAAAGAAATGCTTTCAGCAAGTGACGCTCCGGCTCCCGCAGAGCCCCGATTTTATCTCCTGACACGGACAAAAGACAGACGACAGAGTTAATCGTCACACTGACTCAGACAACTCGAATCAACTTTATCCTTAATTCAGCAATTACAGAAGACAAACACTGGAGTAGAGATGGACCGATCCCATATTACGTATCAGTATGTAATCCGATACTGACGTAAATTACTGGATCGGATATCGGAGAGAAATAAAAAATGTAATCCGATCCATTAAATATCAAACAAGCACCTCACAAAACTTGCAACACGGCGTAACTCGGCTCATAACCGTAGCACGTCGGAGCAGTGTGGTCAGTGATAGAGCGGCTGTGTGTATTTGTAGCCTCACTACCAAACCAGCATTTCATCTCTGAAGTGATCCCAGAGAGAAGTAAAGCAAGTGTGTAAGTTCATCTCTGAATGTTTGTAAAGCTTAACAAGCGATATATGGAGCGACTGCCTCTCTCTCTCTCTCTCTGCTGCTGCTACTTCAATCGTGAAACTGATCAGTGATCAGCTGATCGGCTTTTCTGTCGTGAGTCCGTCTCTCTTCTTTATTTTTGGCCCACTTTGCTCCAGCGGCTGAACAACAGCAGCACGTTTAAGCTTGATCAGCTGTTGTTAGAATTATTTAATATTACTTTCTACTCGAGGATCTTTTTCTACAGCTGACGGCTGTAACTGTGCAGGGGCGGATCTAGCAAAGTGTAGCCAGGGGGGCCGATAGGGCATGAACAGGGAAAAGGGGGCACAAAGACATACTTTTCTTTCTTATTCTCATTTAAAATGTCGAGCTTTCAATAAATAATTATCTGACTCTTACACCCAAAGTTTTAATCTGGTGTAAAATATATAGAAGTCCATTACTGCATATAGTAACTGTTAAGTCTAATATACTAGTAAGCTATGTACTTTTTCCTTTGGGAAGATACCATCTGTGCAGTCTGCAGTTCTGTAGAAGAAAGATGTTGAATCTATTTTATTATTGTAGAAAAATTATTTATTTCTGTGCATTTTTTTTCACACTGCATCAAATTAAAGTTGATTACGTTGATTAAGCATCATGAGGTGGAGGGTGGGGGGGGGGGGGGTTCCTATTTTTTCCTGGAGTTACTCTTTAAAACACCAGAATAGGGAGGATGGAGCAGGTTTAAGTTTATTAGATTGATCAGTGTTGCTGAACTATGAAATATTTTGTTGTATTTTTTTACATACAGGTATAACAGAATAGCTTTAGTGTTGTTGTTTTTTTAAACTTGAGTATGAACTTATACAAAAAGCAGCAAGATATTTAAAAAATACAGTTTTATTGATTAAAAAACACTATATCTGATTCATATCGGTATCGGCCGATATCCAAATTGATGATATCGGTATCGGACATAAAAAAGTGGCATCGTGCCATCTCTACACTGGAAACAATATGATAGATTTTCTGATCGTTATGATCTCCGTCTTGTTGTTAAAGAGCGTACCACTTAAAACCTGTTTAAAATCCAGTTTCAGATTTGTAAAAAAAACTTTCCTCCGTCTGGATCCCATTTTAATGTCCAAACACGGACGTGCTCAAACAAGAATTTAACAGTTTACAAAACAAACCATGTCTCCTTCGTCCAGGTCC